ATATAATATTAACTTGATATATATTTGAAACTCAGATAGGAAAAAATTAGAAGTAGGAAAAAATACTTAAGTTAATTCAGAAAAAGTCATTTTAATTTGAATGTTGTTTTGATTAGTTATTCTAATTATTTAGAATCAAAATGTATTCATTTTTCTGTTCATAAACTGTCAATAATAAGGAATTAATCTCTACCTTCAGCATATGTCCCTCAAACTAGAGTCAAGAGTTCTGATTTAAGAATTCAGACATAGCAAGGAAACTCAAACATGGTATGTTCACAAGAGTTCAATGATGCTGTAAGAAAATAAGACCTTCAACCATCTTCCTACTTGCATGCTACAAATCGCTAAAAACGTTCTCTTGCAGTCAACCCTTCTGGGTAATGGAATTGTATCAACCAGGCATGCCTAGTCCATACAAATTAAGGATAGGGAGCAAAATTCATGGGATGCTTTTAACAAATATAAGTTTTATACCATAATGCTCAATCATATTGCCTGTCTAAAAGTCAACTGCAGACAATAATATAGTGAGAAGATGCCTGAGGGTTAAGATAACTTCTTTCTGAATCTTTTGTGCAGAACCACTAAGATGTGGCCCTTCTGGAAAGCATAATGAACTGATATTAAACCCAAATAAGAGCTGGACAAACTCTCCACATTGCAAGAAGCAATGAGTACTCTGAGCATTATTAGGATTTCTTCTTTTTCCCCTTACCTGATGTGTGCTGAATGGTAGCCCTTCCTGCACAAATACTACCGAAGATGGAGATGGATTATGACTTAGCTGCTCCTTCAGTTTGACATGAGCTTGCTGGATGGCCGCAGAATCCTGCATTGTGCTATTTTCAACAGGCTGAGCTGTGTGGATGGTATAGATGTACTCAGGTGACTGTGGTAGAGAGCAGGTGATTGCTTGTTCTGTTCCAACCACAAAAGAGGTAATATCTGAGCCTACAGGAGTAAGTGGCTCCAGTTGGCTAGCCTGACTTGTGGACGATGAATTGCTGTTGTTTGAATTAGCTAAGATGTGTTGGCCTCTGTTAGACTGAGATGTTGGGCACTGATTCTCAGTAGGCTCCACCTTTACCATCTCCAATTTAGGGGAGGAATGTAACTCATCTACTATCTGAAAGACAGCCTCTAGGTTTACTTCTGTCTTTTTATTTTCATCAGTAGCACTGCAAGACCAATTAGAAGGTAGAAATTCAACTGGATAGGAGGACTGCATTGGAGGATTCTGAGAAAAGAGAAAACAGGACTGTTTGGATAGAAAATCAAATTTACAATTAAAGAGGAAAGCAACAACATATAGGCTAATGAATGCTAAACATAAATAGGTTAAACTTCAAGCTAAGAAAACCTGAATGTTAATCTACTTTTTGCAATGGTAGCTTCAAACACCTTGTTAACATTTACTTGACATCTACCAGATGTCAACCACTATGCTAAGTTTGATACTAGAAATGGACCAATAATTTTCAGAGTTAAAGTATACAAAATCGAAAAGTTAAGGTATCCAGATACCTATTTGCTAGTAAAATATCTATGTACCAAGTTCTTACATAAACGGTGACAAGCAAAAACATCACTTGCCATCTATTATATACTGTTTTAGAAATGTAGTAAGGATATTTCATTACATTTATGGTTTTGCGTATGTTGAACCAACCTTGAAGAAAGATAAAAATCATATGGTCATATCAATCGATGCAGAAAAAGCATTTGATAAGATACAACATCCCTTCATGATCAAGACCCTCAGCGAAATCGGCACAGAAGGGTCATTTATCAATAAAAGCTATCTATGAAAAAACAATAGCGAACATCATCCTCAATGGAGAAAAGCTGAAAGCTTTTCCTCCAAGACAAGGATGCCCACTTTCTCCACTCCTTTTCAATATAGTACTAGAAGTCCTTGCCAATGCAATCAGAAAAGAGGAAAAAATAAAAGGCACTCGAATAGGAAAAGAAGAGGTGAAACTCTCTATTCACAGATGACATGATTGTATACATAGAGGACCCAATGGTTTCCATGAAAAAATTTGTGGAAGTAATACATGAATACAGTAAAGTTGCAGGATACAAAATTAATACACAGAAATCTATAGCATTTCTATATATGAACAACAGGCAGACTGAGATAGAACTGAGAAAAGTTATTCCATTTACCAGAGCCACAAAAAATGTAAGATACTTAGGAATAAATCTAACAAAAGAAGTTAAAAACCTCCACAAGGAAAATTATGAGAAGCTAAAAAAATTGAAAATGACACAAAAAAAAGTGGAAGGACATCCCATGTTCCTGGATTGGAAGAATTAATATAATCAAAATGGCAATTCTACCCAAATTAATCTACATATTTAATGCAATGCCAATCAAAGTACCAGATACATTCTTCACAGATCTAGAAAAGACAATCATAAAATTTGTCTGGAATCATAAAGACCCCATAGTGCCAAAGCAATTCTGCACAAGAAGAGTGGAGTGGGTGGCATCTCACTCCCTGACCCAAAAATATACTACAAAGCTATGGTAATCAAAACAGTATGGTACTGGCACAGAAACAGACATGTGGACCAATGGAACAGAATAAAGTCCTCAGAAATAAATTCCCAAACATACAGTCAACTGATTTTTGACAACGGGTACCAGTCAATCCAGTGGGAAAAGGAAAACCTCTTTAGCAAATGGTGCTGGAAAAATTGGACTTCCACCTGCAGAAAGATGAATTTGAACCCCTACCTCTCACCTTTGACACAAATCAAGTCAAGGTGGATCAAAGATCTAAATCTAAGGCCTAAAACTATAAAACTGCTCCTGGAAAATAGTAGGGAAACTCTGGGAGACATTGGGGTAGGGAAATACTTCTTAAATAAGACCCCCAAAGCATAGATGATAATTCCCAAAATAGACAAGTGAGATTACATCAGACTAAGAAGTTCCTGCATGGCAAAAGATACAGTAATTAGAGTGAATCGACAGCCCTCAGAATGGGAAAATATTTTTGTAAACTATAGCAATTCCACTCCTTGGTGTCTACCCAAAGGATAGAAGAATTCTTAATCAGAAAAGTGCTTGCACACCGATGTTTATTGTGGCACTATTCACAATTGCTAAGACATGGAACCAACCCAAATGCCCATGAACAGATGAATGGATTGAAAAACTGTGGCACATATACTCTATGGAATACCATTCAGTCATAAAAAACAACAAAACCCTGGTTTTGGACAGAAAGTGGGAGAATATGGAAGAGTTACTGCTGAGTGAAGCAAGCCAGGCTATGAAGGAGAGACATTGTATGTCCCCACTCAACATATACTGAGTGTCTGCACTCTATGACTGAAACTGATGACTAAAGGTTATAGAAACACAGTAAATGGATGTAAATACCAAATATAATATGTGTGAAAGAGTAGGATCTGAGGAAGGACATTTAGAAGAAAAATAGGGAGGCAAAGCATTAACTGGACCAAAAATGTGGTATTATCTGTTGAAGATATTTTATAGTTTTATCAACTAGACTAGGGATAAATATTCACATGTTGAAATACTCACTTTGTAAGCTAAATAAAATGATTGAATGTATAAAAGAAAATGAAATAAAAATGTAAATAAAAAATAGAATTAAAAAACTGATTATAAAACCAAAAAAGAAAAAGAAAAGAAAGAAAGAAATGCAGTAAGTATATTTCAAATGCAAGATGCTCACAGACCCACCAATCCTCTATGGACTTGGAGGGAGGTACTGATACTCTGTTCCAAATGATGTGGGGGAAAAAATGGATGGAATATCGAATGTCCTTTGGTTCCCAAAATTATTCTAAATAATAAAGCAATAGACTAAAATACCTATTGCTTTTAGATTTATATCTTTAAGATATATTCTTGTACATATAGTGCTTTGCATAGAGTAGACATTTAATACATGTTAGGTGATAAGGATCTAAAGCTGTGAACATAAAATACAGGAGAGTGATGATTAAATAAAAGATGTAATGAACTGATGTTGCCAAATGTACAGCTTTGCACAGAATAGGCATTCAATAAATGTTGATTTTCTCAGATTATAAACATAAAATACAGAAGACTTTGATTAAATAAAACATACAGGGAGTTGATGTTGCCAAATGCACTACAAAGATTATGTCAATGATTTTTAGAAGGCCATTAATGCCAAATAATGTCAACTCAAATGGTATAGGCATCAAGTTACCATAGTCAACAGCACCATTTATTGAGTTCTTACTATGTGCCAACCACATATAGACTGCTTTCATATCCATTATTTCATTTATTTCTCACAAAAGCCCTATGATATGTGATACTCTTTGTTTTTAAATAACGAAACTGAGGTTCAGAGAAATATCATAATTTACCCAGTCACAATGAAAAAACTGACAGAGCCAACTTTTAAGCCTCAGTCTCCTCGATGCAAAAGCTCTTGCTGGTCACCACTAAAGAAAACTGGCCATTGATGTACTTCTCACCAATATCTACAATCCACTATATAAACTGCATTTATTTTCAGTTTATTCATTTATAGAATCTAACATACTTTATTGTTTTCCATTTTTTAATTTTATGTCTTATCTTTATTTTCCTATAATTAACAGATATCATCTCTGTAGTAAGAAAAGGTCTTTACAAAAATGTTTTAAAACATGAGCATGTTCTGGGCTAGCTCTGTGGTCTAGTGGTTAAGATACCACATTCCTGACCATGTGGCTCAAATCCTAGCCCCAGAAGTTAGAAAAATACACAGCTTTGTACATTTCTGTACACCGGGTATGTACAAAATGTATGCCCCAAATTCTGACAGAGTGGAGAATTGGAGGCAAGGGAATGTGGCCTGACCATATCCCATTGAGGGGAGCTTGCTTTCTTTCTCTCTCTCTCAAGCATATACGTCCCGTGGCAAAACAAAACAAAAACAAATCCATGAACATATTCAAGACAGAAATGCTGTCAGAGTTATCTCCAGTATAATCCAGGGAAGAGACATCAGGGTCCACAAACAAGAGCATCTAACTGTGAAGAGGCAACATCCGTCCAATAAAGATGGTGAACTGGGAGAGCACTAGTAATGAAAATTGTCCATCTAAGCCCCCTTGTTTAGATTTTATACTCTTCAAACAACACTCTGATTATAAATTGATTTCCCATGTAGACTTTCTCAGAACAAAGAAAAGAAAGAAAATGTTCTTCTGAGTACCCTAATGACACTAGTAAAACATTTCCTTGGGAACCAGCAGTTAGCGTAATGGCTATGTCGCTGGACTCCCATATAGTCGACCGCGGTTCGTGTCCCGGACCCAGTGGCTTAAAACTCACGCCAGTCGCGTGTGCATGCGTGCCCAAGATCCTGAGAGGAGAATGGAGGAGAAGGGATTGCGGCGTGACCATCCCCCCTGGGGGGTGATTTCTCGCTTTCTGTCTCTATGTCTTTTTCTGTCTGTTTGGCGAGCGCACGCGCCCTATAGTGAAAACCTCCCCCCCCCAAAAGAAAAAAATTCCTTAAGAACTGAAGCTATCTTGGGACCAGCAGTTGGCATAATAGCTATGTCACTGGACTTCCACGTTAGACAACCTTGGTTTGAGTCGCAGACCCAGTGGCTTAAACTCACGCGGGGTGCATGTGTGTGTGCGCCCAAGATCTTGAGAGGAGAATGGGTGAGAAGGGATTGTGGAATGGCCATCCCCCTTGGAGAGTGATTTCTCGCTTTCTGTCTCTCTTTTTCTGGCAAGTGCACACTCCCTATAGCAAAAAACCTCTCACAAAAAAAAAAAAAAAAGAAAGAAAGAAAAAAGAAAAAGAAAAGAACTGAAGCTATCTTAGCTAGATGATAATCCAAGGCAAACACATGAATCTGATCTTTAGCATAAAAATACAAGGCACAGGGGCCAGCAGGTGCCATGGTTACTGAGGCATTAGACTCCCACATGACTGACCGCAGTTCAAGTATGGACCTGGCCGCTTAAAAATCACACTGGGCAGGTGTGCATATGTGCCCAAAATCCCAAAAGGAGAATGGAGGAGATGAGACTGCGATGTGGCCATCTCTCCAGGGCTATAATTTCTCACTTTCCCTCACTCTGTCTCTCTCTTTCTCTGAGGCAAGCACATGTGCCCTATGGCAAAAATCTAAATAAATAAATAAAACATAACTATCTGTATCACTATCTGTTGGAAGAAGCTGTCATTTGGTGACTTATATACTTTTAAAGTTTATCTGATATTCATTTCACCATGGAAAAATCTAGAAAGCACTGTTCAAAATAACTTTCAGCAGTGACAGTACAACTGGTAGTTGCTAGCTACGTGAGACTACTGGGCACTTGAAATGTGGCTACTATGAGTAATTTAATTTTAATCAATTTAAGTAACCACATGAGACTACAGAGTACTTGAGATGTTGCTAGTGTGATTGAGATATTAATTTTTAAATTTCATTAATTTTAATTACTGTAAATTAAATAGCCACACGTGACTAGTGGCTATCATACTGAACAAAGCTGACCTAGAAGAATCCTTAGTCATTAGTTATATAAACTCTCCCCATCCCCCCTTTTTATAAGAATTGAGAAAACTGAGCCCGTAATCCACAATTTACCTCTGGCTACTCATTAATATAAAAGTACACTTTGAAATTTTGCAAAGTCAATAATATGACACATGAAGCACAGAATGTGTCCACTGTTTCAAGAACTGTACCTGGAAGTAGTTGCAGTGTGCATAGGAGGAGGCAGTGGGCGTGACACAACTACTTAGCGCATCCATGTGGGTAGAAGGAGAACAGCACTGGAGCACAGCTGGAAGAAATTCACAGATAGAAAAGCCATCAACCACGATAAAGCTCTAGAGCATTTGAAGAGTTCCCACTTTCAACATAGAAAGAACTCCAAGAAGGACTTCCTTTGTTGTCTAACAAAATTATCTTTAGTCCACTGAGCTGCTATGACTTATTGAAAACATAATATAAGCTTTTAAAAGTCTTTAAAAGGGTCACTTTTACTTTTATACACAATTTCTTTAGCACCTAAACTTTCTGAAATAAAACATTTACTCTTTTTGAAAGGAATTTCATTTATTAACAATATCAGAATATATCTGAAATTCCAAAATAATTGTTTTGATCATTTTAACAGTAACAATCATTTTTAGGGGGAAGATTTTTTTTTTCTTCTTCCCTTTGAGAAGCTTTTGCTATAGGGTATGTGAGCTCACCAGAAAGAGAGAGAGAGAGACAGACAGACAGCGAGAAATCACCCTCCAGAAGGGATGGCCATGCCGCATTCCTTTCTCTTCTTCTCCTCTCAGGATCTCAGGCAATGCACACATATGTGCCCAGTGTAAGCTTAAGCCACTGGGTCCAGGACTCAAACCGTGGTTGACTACATGAAAGTCCAGCAACATAGCCATTACGCCAACTGCGTAATGATTCGTCAGCAGGTAGTGTAGTGGTAAATGCACTGAACTCCCATGTGCTGACCACGGTTTGAGTCCTGGACCTGGCAGCTTGCTTTTTGACTTTTCACATCTCTCTCTCTCTGGAGAGTAAATGTGCCCTGTAGCAAATTTAAAAATGACAATAATGATAAATAAAATTAAATAAATCTAAAATAAAAGAAGAAAGTGAGTATAAAATACTCTCCAAATGTTACCAGTAAACAATGCATCCAGTAGAAACATATGTAAAAATCGGGACCAGCAGTTAGCGTAATGGCTATGTCGCAGGACTCCCACGTAGTCGACCACGGTTTGCGTCCCAGACCTGGTGACTTAAAACTCACACCGGGTGTGTGTGCGTGTGTGCCCAAGATCCTGAGAGGAGAACGGAGGAGAAGGGATGGCAGCATGGCCATCCCCCATGGGGGATGATTTCTCACTTTCTGTCTCTCTGTCTCTGTCTGTCTGGTGAGCGCACGCGTCCTATAGCAAAAAACCCTCCCCCCCCCAAAAAAAAAGAAACATACGTAAAAATGTTTTTATCATTTAGACCATAGGTTAGGAATGCAGGTCCTAGAGTCAGATTGCACACATTGGAAGCCTAGCCACACCATTCAAAAGCTGTGCAAATTTAAGCACAGTAAATCTACTTGGGCCTCCATTTCAGTATCCTATTAAAATAGGGTAGAACCTACCCAATCTGGTTGTGAGGCATGAATGAACTACTATGCATAAAGTACGTAGAATAGTGCTGGCAGACAGTAAGCAATCAGTAAATGTTGTCTGCTATTATTTATCTATTTTTAAAGGTACTTATAGTCTTTTTAAAAAATTATTATTTTTTAAAGAATTATTTATTTATCCATCCATTTATAATCTGATCAGAGACAGACAAAAAATGAAAATGAGAAGAGCAAGCCACCAGGTCCAGGACTCAAACCGTGGTCAGCCATGTGGGAGTGTCCAGCACCTTAACCACCACGCCACCTGCTGGTCCCCAATTATTATTATTTTTTTAAATTTGCCATAGGGCATGGACATGAGAGCGAGCGAGCGAAAGCAAGCCACTTGGTTCAGAACTCCAACTGGGATTATCTATATGGGAGTCCAGCGCCTCAACCACATCACCACCTGCTGGCACCTAACTGCTATTATTTTAAGTACAGAAATACATTTTCCAAACTTTCTATAGTTAGGCAAACATGAAAAGACTGAACTCTTTTACTTACAGATTCAGTCTCTTTTTTTTGAGAGGTTTTTGCTATAGAGCGTGTGCTCTCACCAGACAGAGACAGAGAGACAGAAAGTGAGAAATCACCCCCCCGGGGGGGATGGCCATGCCACAATACCTTGTTCATTCTCCCAAGAGGACCTGGGATCTTGGGCATTCATGCACACGCACCCAGCATGAGTTTTAAGCCACCAGGTCCAGGACGCAAACCGCAGTCAACTACGTGGAAGTTCAGTGACATAGCCATTACACTAACTGCTGGTCCCGAGATTCAGTCTTTTTTTTTTTTTTTAGAAAGGTTTTTGCTATAGGGTATGTGTGTTCTCTGGAGAGACAGAGACAGAGAGACAGAAAGCAAGAATTCACTATTCAGGGGTCTGGCTACTCCATAGTCCCTTCACCTCCATTCTCCTCTCAGGATTTTGGGCATGCATGTACATGTGCCTGGCATGAGTTTGAAGCCACCAGGTCCAGAACTCGAACTGTGATAGACTACATGGAGTCCAGCAATGTAACCATTATGCCTGCCATGTGCTGGTCCCCAGATTCAATCTTAATAATTTGTTGAGCTCCTCTTTTCCAGAAAGACTTTCCAGTGTGAAGAAGTTTAAAACATCACATTTATGGATTAAACAGAAGACTATATGAGTATGAAATACATATTAATACATAAATATGAACATGATAAGCATACATACACACATACATACATACACACACACACACATATACACACACAAACACACCATGTTCCAAGCATGGAGGTAGGTACTTTACACAGATCACCTTGTTTAATCTAAACAATCAGTTAAAGTGTTAACATTACTTTCAAACTAAGTAAACTAAAGCTCAAGATACTAAGGAATTTGCCAAAAGTTGCAAAGATGGTGATGACAGAGCCAGTGATCAAATTACAAAGCACATGCTCTTTAATTTACTATGATGAGGGACCAGCAGACAGCATAATGGTTATGTAGCTGGACTCCCACATAGTTGACCATGATTCAAGTCGCAGACACAATGCCTTGAAAATCACATTGAACACATGTGTGTGTGTGCCTAAGATTCCAAGAGAAGAATGGAAGAAAATGGATTGTGGCATGGCCATCCCCCTGGGGGGTGATTTCTAGCTTTCTGTCTCTCTCTCCAGCCTACATACACACCCTATAGCAAAAACCTCTCTCAAAACACACACACACACACACACACACACACACACACCCCATAATGCTAGGTCAGCAGGTGGTGGAGTGGTTACAGTGCTGGACTTACACATAGCCAACCATGGTTCAAGTCTGGACCTGGAAGCTTGCTTTCTTACTTTCCCTTTCTCTCTCTGTCTCTCTCTCTGGTGAGTGCTTGTGCCCTGTAGCAAATTAAAATAATACTAAATAAAATTAAATAATTACTTAAAAAAATACAAAGCTTCCCTAAGTTTTCTTTTCCCTAAACTGTAACATTTTAATTTTACTAGATTTCCATCTGCTGAAAAGCTTTAAAATCTCTTTATTATAATTAGCAACTTTTCCCTTTTATTTCTACATCTTTCATATTTTGAATGAGTTAAAAATATTACTAAATAATCTCGTTATTGAGACCAGCAGTTAGTGTAATGGCTATGTCGCTGGACTCCCACATAGTCAACCGCAGTTCACATTCCGGACCCAGTGGCTTAAAACTCACGCCGGGCGCGTGTGTGTGCGTGCCCAAGATCCCAAGAGGAGAATGGAGGAGAAGGAATTGTGGCATGGCCATCCCCCCTGGGGAGTGATTTCTCGCTTTCTGTCTCTGTCTGTCTGTCTGGCAAGCACACGCGCCCTATAGTGAAAACCTCTCAAAAAAAAAAAATCTCGTTATTAATCTTTAAAAATAAATGAGTCTAAGGTGGTAAAAATTCAATGCTTTCTTATTTCTCCATTGACTATTGATTTTTTAAATGTCCAAAGTTTATAAAGATAGATTAGAAATAAAATATTTGCTCATTGTAGCATGTGTAATTTAAGACATTAATTTTCACACATAGAAATAAAAAATGGAGAGAATTCTAGCTTAGATATAAGTACTGATATTTTCTAAATTACATGATCTTTAACAATTAAAGTAATTTAAGAGAGTCATATATTACTAAGAGTGCCACATAAAATTCATAACTGTCACTTTCAAAATAGGACTTTACTCTTGATTCTTTGGAAGTTATTCAAATATACAATGAAAATTTTAAAATTTTATTTCCCAAGGTATCTGAAATCATAAATATCCTGGGAAATAAACTGAATCGAAACAGCTACATCCTAAGCAGCATCTGCAGTGTTTGCCAAAACTCCAAAAGGAAGAAAAGGGGTATAGCCCCCTAGCGGCAGCAAAAAAAGACTTAGACACCGCAGGTTTTCATTCTATGTGAACACTATAAAGCAGTGTTCCATTACAAATAAATCAATTAAAGGTATTAGCTTTCTTTCTTTCCTCTCTTTTTTTTTAAGAGAGGTTTTTTGCTAAAGGCATGTACACACTTCCTGGAGATACAGAGAGACAGAAAGTAAAAAGTTACCCCTTAAAGAGATAGTCATGCTGCAATCCCTGCTCCTCCATTCTCATGAGATCTTGGGCATACACGTACGCGCATGTGCCCAGTGTGAGTTTAAGCTGCCAAGTCTGGGAACTGAACCACGTGGGAGTCTGGTGAGGTAACCATTATGCCATCTGCCGGTCCCTTAGCTTTATTTTTCTGATTTTTTTATGTTTTGACTCCATTGGCTATACATTTTAAAGAGTTATGAAAATGTACTTTAAAAACATTTTTTTGAGAAATAAACTATAATATTGGGCCATCAGAAGAGTCATAACTATTTCTTGTTTTTTGGTTTTTTTTCATACAAAAATGCATCATTACTTTCCCAATGACCCAATATAACAGAGACCATGTTGACATATGGTTGATAGCTGATTTGGTATATAAGAAAACAGTAAAATAATGAATGTCCTTTAAAATGTCCAGTAACAGGCTGGCAGATGGCGTTGTCATTAAGGTGCTGGACTCCTACATGGCCAATTGTGGTTCAAGTCTTGGACCACAAGGCTTGCTTTCTCATTTTCTCTCTCTGTCTCTCTCTCTTTGGTCAAAAAATAGTAACA